TTCAATAAAATTGATTGATAAACAATGATAGTTTGACTTTTTTCAGAGCTGTCAGATTGTTCCAGAGAACTCAGAGGAGACAGTAATCCTAGTCGTTTGAATTGAACTATGCTGTAGTTGCATTTGGTGGTGTGAGATACAGTTACATACTGAGAATGATTAACACAAATATCATGCCAATGAAGTGATCTGTTGGGACTACCTTTGCAAGTGATAACTTGTCACAAAGTTCACTAACGTTGTCAGTAAATAATCTTACGTTTTTGTCATGCTATGTCTTCATTAGGTTGTTTTTTTCAGTTCATGTTAATAATTGTATGTTACAATGAATAAATCACAAGATTTGTTCAGGATACTAGAGTTTGTTGTGATTAAAATTAACAGTGGAAATATTACTATTTATTAACTAATCATATAAATGCCATAACAACACAAAACAATCAAATCTTTGCAAAACTTTTACTTTTGGATTTACACAAGGAAAGATTAAATTTTCATGACTCCCAAATATTGAAAATGATTGCCCCCCAAAAATATTGTGAGTCACTGTCTGTGTAAACACCCCCCACCCCCTTTTTTAAACCACCCTTATGTCCACAATGCAATATATGTAGAATACACTGAGAATATACATATACTCAATACACTTTCGCAAATCACCATCATACAATGAATAGTTATCTTTGAATATGTGTCTGTGTAAAACCCTGATTTTGTGTTCTGGGTAGTAACATTCTAACTTACTTCCTTAATTCTCATGATCCTGAAATGTAACATCATCCTTTTTGACATGGTGATGTTACCGAAATTTGGAATTCCCCAGGTATATAAATAGCGACCTCGCCCGATGACATGCAAAATTCTGAATTGTGTATAACCATATATGTCACAAATTCATATCTTATATAGTTATTCGCAGTTCGGAGATTTGAGTCAAGTGTTGTATGCCACACCTCCCCAAATTCTTTATGAAACTGTAAAACTCGAATGGGTGAAAGTTAAGTTGATCCTCAGGGGTGGAAATAACCCATTGCCCGACGCCCGAGTCCAGTGTTTTTTGCTGTCGAGCAAGCAAATTTGTATATCACACTGTACCCGTGTCCAGTTGATATTCCAATGTTAATTATGTTGTTTATTTACAAAAATCAACAAGAAAACGGTTAGTATAGTGGAAAAAGTATCAGGGCAAGTGATTTTACATGTGCCACTGTACCGGAGTACACTAGCAATTTTAAAGTTATTTCCACCCCTGATCCTTCTTAAGAATAATGACGATGACTTGTGGGCATGTGAACCGATGGTTCGTGAAACACAACAGGCAACTGAAAAACATTTTCCCCCAAGGAAACAACAAAATAAAATAATGTTTCTCTCAGCTAGAGACATTCGGCTAGATAAATGCGTTATCACATCGTGTCTCGGGAAATACGGGGTTTTATCAGTCCCGAGTAAGGTTGTATTCCCCGAGCCGGAGGCGATATGATAACTTATAATAGACCTGATCATGAAAGTAAAATAGAGACTTATCAATGGGTCATTTCCAGACGGATGCCTGTTGGAAGTGATAACAATAACATATCAATCTACAATAGCTGTGCAAATACTTCCAGAGTTTCAGAGAGGTTCACTTTCTAGGACACTGATAGACAAACATATATTTTATTCATGTTTTATTACATTACACTTTTCCCTCCTCAAACAAATTCCTGATGCTGTCAATTTGAACTTGTTAAGACTGGCTTAATCATGGCTGGTTTGGGTTTCACAAGAAATGTTCAGAAGACAAGAACTCTTATCATCCTGTCTGCAATTTGTCTTTCAAATATGGTACCGTATATGAACATAGATAAGCGGAGGTGCTAATTTGACCCATAAAACTAGTATCAAAATGGTATGTCCCGTACATAAGCCGAACCACCAACCTTTGTTCATCTCGTTGTGATCAGTCATTGGAAATAGTGCATCACCTCATCCGTACTTGATGACAATTTAATTCTGTTGTTACAGTCTTGTCTTATAATAAAACATGTTCTTTGCATATCAGGACTTACGTTTGCAATCTAATTTATCAATTTTGCTGAAAATGCCATTCAATAATGTTTGTACAAATTGCACGAAAATCGTGTGCCTCTACGATTCTCACAACTTCAGTCTACATTATTCACAGCAATCACATCAATTTTGCGTCTACTCACTCGAAATGAAGTATAGTTGCCAAAAACGGATATGCATACATATATTTATTTTGCTAAAAGTCATATTTGTTATATGGACAATTACACGTCAACAAACTGTTTTCGCAGTGGAAACAGCGAAATCATGCGAAACTACATCGGTGACAGGTCAAACTGTTCCACACCTAAAAAAATATCTGGCAATAGACCAAAGTCCTGCCATATCACATTAGTTCTGATTATAAACATTTTACATTTAGAGAGCAAACCAGCAATTAAAATGACAATGCTAGAATACATTTCTCTTGTCAAAATAATAGTTTCATTCAGATATTATTTTCAGATCAGTGAATCAGAAACCATTTCTGATGTCATTTTCTAGCCACCAGAAAAAAGGTTGATGAAAGTGTAACCTTTTCAGATCCTCAAAATTCGACTGAATCACATACTGTAGTTATATTAAGAGTTCTTCCTCAAAGTTGTCAAAATCATGAACATGTTCAATTCTAATTTCTCTTTCAAAACCATTCAAACATTTGATAAATCCTCAAAGTCAGTGAATATCAGAACTCATTAGAGCGCGCAAGTTGTATATTAGGAAGTTTGCTTTCATCTTTTTGCATTGAAATCTTTTTTTAGGTTAATATCTAATTCACCAAACGTCATATGCGGATCATACTGTATGTTAAGCCATGTGTACCACTATTTTACACATTTGTCATGTTCATTTGTGGAAAGACCATTTATCACTAGCTTTGTATTATCAACATTGTCAAAACCTATTGTTACAAAAATTATGTGCCCCCATCCCTGGTATGCACATTCAACATACTATTGCCACTGAAATAAAAGGAATTTGGCCGATAGGTTAATGTAAGAAAAGGCAACATTAAAATGCATTACTCATCAGGGGTGGAAATAACCCATTGCCCGACATCCGAGTCCAGTGTTTTTTTCTGTCGGGCAAGCAAATTTGTGTATCATACTGTACTGGCGTTCAGTTGACTTTCCAATGTTAATTATGTTGTTCAGAGGCCCAGATAAGCTGCGTATCCAGTTAAAATACGCACATAAAAATTCCAACTACGCACTGAAAAATAATTGTTGCGAAACAATTACGCATTTAAAATGTTAGATACGCAAAAAGTTTATAAAAATCGCTTGCGTAATGAAAAAGACATTGATTGCTATCAAGTTGTACTGCTAGTATAGAACAAGTGTTGTACTGTCAGTATAGGATGAGTGATTGTTTATGAAAGCATTTCCATTACATTTAAGTAGGTTTTGATTAGGTATGACATAAGGCAGAACATACCTGCTTAGTTAACTTACTCAGTCACATAATACTTAAGTGAGTAAAATGACTGAAATACGCACATATTTGAAAGCAGTGGGTAACGGAAAAGGAGATACCCACTCAACATTCATAACACCCACTCCAAAAAAATACAGTGGGTACAGTACCCACATGAGCTAAATCTTATCTGGAGCTCTGGTTGTTTATTTAAAAAATTCAACAAGAAAACGGCCGGTATAGTGGAAAAAGTATCGGGGCAAGTGATTTTACATGTGCCACTGTACCGGAGTACACTAGCAATTTTAAAGTTATTTCCACCCCTGCTCATATGATGCTGTGTGTATTCTAGCTGTATTCAGTGACTTTTCAAAAGTGCTTTCACTTCATCCACATAACCACAAGTAATGACTGCAGAACCGTTTGCAACTGACTGAAGGCAACCATTAATTAATTGGACACTCACATCAACACTGGAATTTGTTGAAAACTGATTGCAATTCAGAGTCATTGTCCACTGTACTGGACTTATCATTGATTGGGCTGTAAATCAACGTAACTTATAACAAAGTAAAAACATAGTATCTCTCACAACGTATATCCAAAATTAACACGCACAGAGTAGCAGAAATTACTATTTTCGTTCTGATCAGTTATTGCAGTAAAAGAAATATTCTTTTTTTACATCAGTTATGTCATATGCATTACATCTTTTATATATTTCAAATATCAATTTCTTAAGAGCAAACCACACATGAACATTGATCCATAATAAGTATTAATCTATAAACTAAAACATTTGCAAATGCTATTTAAATTTTTCGGTCATCAAAAGTGCTTCCTGCAAGTTGTAAATGATGCGACAGCTAGAACAATTATCAGCACGATTTATCTTTTGATGAGAAATGTCAGACTTCAAAAGGCATTTGGCAATATGGCTTTGGAAACTTGGAAACAATCTGTCCAAACAAAACTTTACATCCATGAACTTTAGAACAATGAGTTTCTTGGAAGGGTGTACTGGATATTTACAAGTAACAAACACAGGATTCCCAGCGCCAATATTTGTGTACAGTCAGCCAAGCTGGCTTCTCCAGACCCAGACTAGTGCAACATCAACCAGGTGTCACAACACTTTTTAAGAACTTTTCTTCAAGATTATTTTCTCCCCCTCCTTTGACAGTTGGCATTATGTACTCTGTACTGATTTGTGTATAACCTCTTGGCAAAATAACTTCAGTTCTCGTGAAAAAAGTTAATATTAGAGCTTAAAATGTCCGTTCACTGCACTATGCCATGGCACGAACTTTACTTGACCTAGAAAGTTTGTAAACACTTAGGGGAGCAATCAAGCCATGCAACATCACTTTCACGCTCCAGACACGTAAAACAGTCTTGACAATACGTACGAACTCGTATTTAATGATACAAGGTTGCATATTTTTTCCTCCTTTTGTTCATAGTTGTTGGAGCTTGCAAAGCCTTTGTTTGCTTTGTGTGAAAACCCAGGATCCAAAATGGCTGCCACTTACCTCGCGAGAGAGTGTCAATCCATGGAAGTCTCTTTCTAAATCTTGAACCTGCATGCCTCTCGACTGCAATAGTCAAAAAACGTTATAAATTGACGCGCGTATATGCATTGCGCAATAATATATAAACAGTTAGCACTGACAATATCAATAACTGGGAGAATAACACAAAAACAAATCCAAGGCATGCAGGAAGCCGCGCAAGGAATGAAAACAAATGTTTCTAGAGTTTAATATTACCTGTTCTATGACACTGTCGTCCCCAACTGCCCATCGCTTATTATTGTATCCACCCATAAGTTCCGTATCCGATTGAGGTCTCTGGAAAAAGTAGCCAACCATGGCATCGTCCTGCGATCGACTACCTGGTCCTTGGTTTTGTCTTATCCCCGCCATTTCTCGTGAATTTGTCAACATCCCTTGGCTGTCGTTCCAAGAAACTTCGTTCATACTTGAAACAGGCATTGACTGTTCATTCTAGCACTTTGCGTCAACCTGTGCAAAATGCAAATATAACGGAAGTTGAATACACGAGAATGACTCGGTTTGCCGCTCCTTTCAATTATGAATTATCAACAAATAATAACATGGCGGGAGACAGTCAGGAAGGTGATTACGACAGCCATTACAGTGTAGATTTTGCCGTTTAGAGAAAAATAGCATCGGGTCACATACCCTCGGTTTCTACGTAAATGACAAATAAACATGCAGATAAAATATAAAATGATGCTAACCTTGATTGCATCGGATAAAGGTTGACCCAATAGGAATGTCTTACAATATGGCGAACGACATTTTGTCTGCGAAATGCATGTTGGGTACCATGTGGGATATGCATGACGTCATTCCGCGGGAGTTTCTGAATTACTAATTTGTAATACAAATTAGACACATTGTTCCACCAATTGTGCGCACCAGATTTTTCTCTGCGAAGGTGTTAGAATAAAACCACATACTGTGTAATTATTTCATCGACAAATAGTGCCGAAATAACTGGAGTAAAAGCCCGTTCTTGTTTCTCAAAAATCTATATTCGCATAAATTATTCGAATCCACTTCCGCAAACGCACTCGTGGTTCAGCTGGCCTTGCGAAACAGGAAGGAGGAAACTAATGACTAATGCCGAATACTTTAGGTCATTCTCTTGTCATATGAGGTTCCATATATATTTACATATGTTGCAATTAAAACAAATTAGCCATTGATTGTTAAAGCGTGTACGAACTGAAATGCTTAATATGGAGTCGACGTTTTGTTTTAAATATTGATGATAGTACGAGAAATAGCAAATTTCTCCCACTATCATCACTATAGGAACGGGATGATGCACTGTATATTCTTTGAATGTTAATTGTCATTACTCATGTCTTAAAATAATCACATGATTATAGTTTATGAAAATAAACATATAGGGGTGGTGAACTATAATAAGTGTGCCTGTGTGCGCTTTCAATGTTCTAATGACTTACTGAGAATACGTTTATATAGATACAAATATTATATAAGATAAGACATCATAAATTTTGGTATACTTACTAAAGTTTGTGTTGTAGGTTCTACATTTTCATAGAACGTTTTTATATGCATCTCCATGCCCGCTGTCTTGTCTCAAACACGCACCTGCTATATAATCCATAACCACAAAAGTCACTGTGACATATTGTTTATGACGTCATCATTTGGATGACGTCATAACTGAATGACGCAACAGGTGGACTAGCGGGGTATATACATGTAAACAATTTGCTCTTTACTTCACTATATACGAGGAATGTATTATTGTACAAGATCGTAAGCATGAAGATTGCTGCAGATTGATCACTGCACATGTTAAGTACTAATGTGACAATATTAGCTTTCTATCAAAATACACAGAGGCGCTCATTGTACTTCAACTGTTGTGAAATGTGTCTTTAATAGTATTTGTATTTTTGGTTTCTATTGTTATAGAAAACTACAATAATAGTATAATGAGGTCTTGGCTATCAGTTAAAATAAAATATATAGTGTATTTTAATGATTTGCATGTATTTTACTATTTTCACATACTAGTGCTTGCGAAAAGTCTTTTGACTGAGAATAATTGTTATTGACAGTGATATTTGTAATGTACTCTTGTATTCCGGGTACGATGGGAAGTAAGTGGTTGAAGTGCCGTGACATAGTGCCAGTTCTCCATTTCCATAAACGTTTTGTATCCGTTTGTGTCTGAGCATTGTTACGCATGGACGTCATAGATTAAAATTTTACGCAGGTGCATCATCTCCTAACTGCTGACAGATTTTTAAAATAATGTAAACATATTCAGTTGTCGTGTCTATTCAATATGATTAGGGATAGTTGTGCAGTAAACCAACGCTTTGTGAAACGGGGTAAGTTGTGTGACGGGCCGCTCCTTAGATCTGACCCAAGCCCACCTCATCCACAGTTATAGTTAATCTGCAGAAGTGTGGAACGGTGACAGTTGGTTTTGTCATAACTTCTGTATATAAATAGAACATAGTTGGCCTGCGATAAAATTAAATAGCAACTCAATATGCAGTGGTGCGTCGGTTGTTAATTCATTTAATTAGTGTGTTGATCGCCGACGTCGTGGAATGACTGTATATGTATGAAATGCACGGATTTATGATTTAGTTGATAACATCGTTTAGTACCCATTTTATGGACCTTCCAGGCAAAAATGAGACGGTCTGCTGAGTCCGTACGCTGAGCGAATGAAGATGTAGTACATAACCCACAGTATCGGTAACATGCTTTCAGTCACGTAACTGAACCATATTTCCCTCTCCACCAAGCCCTTTCTGTAATGCAAAAGCCCTAAATGAAGCAAGTCTAGATTTTCCCGGGGTGAATCTTCCATCTCTCAAGGGCTTCTTTTCAATTTAACTGGAATTTTCCACTCAAATTGTGCATTTTCAGAGACTAAGCTTATAGTCTTTCAGTCACAGAGCTGATTACCAGATCCCCGTTTCTCTTGGCAGACATCATAGATGTCCTATTCATCTTAGGAGTCCAAATTAACGGTATCTTCCGATTATGACTACTCCCAGTTTAACTACTCATAAACATAAACATATAGTGGAACACCCCTACATTTAATAATGTACTGTACCTGTATAGCTGATTACTCCCAGTTTGTCTACTCTTTGAAATATACCTGTAAGGGAGACTCTCAGGGCCTACCTATAATGATTACAAGCCAAGTGAATCTGGGATCTTGTGATCATTCTTTGTTTGTTTTGATATTTGGAGAGAACTCCTCTACTCCGATTAAAACTTTGTAAACATATAGAACAGGTTTAACATATGTTATATTTGGGATTACACTTTCTTAGTAAGGTACAAATTTTTGTACTTTTTTGGGTTGAATCCCATCCGGGATTAATGGTATCTTCCCATTATGACTACTCCCAGTTTGACTACTCATAAACATAAACATCCCGGATTCAAACGCCCACCCTCAGAGTCAGGCACCTATTCACCAGCACACAAAGTCAGCCGCCTAACCCACTCAGCCACTGCGAGTACAGGTATAGTACAGGGTGTTTGTGTTGAAAATTGGACATAATCCCTCCACATTAGAACCCAAGCTAAGATAACATCAGTCTCATTTTAACTGTCACATTTATCAACAAGTACTAGTATATAAATCCCAGTCACAGAGATTTTGTGTTAGCTATGGCTGGTGTTCAGAGAGCAGAGTTTGTTGTATCACAGAGAGCAGCCCGACAAGTGCTGCATGCAGGATTTCGGTATGAGCTGAACAAGTCTGGTAATGTGGATGACTACTGGAAGTGTGTTGTTTCAAGATGTAGAAGCAACTGGAGAGCACAATCACGGGCCTACAATCCAGCCACAATAAGATTCATGAGCACACTGAGAGAAAGAGCTAGGGATGAGTCAACTCCAATGCCCTAGATCTACAATGAAGGGTTCCACCAACTGCCTGTTGCTGCTGTTGCTCAACCATCTTGAAGGTTTCATCACTCACTCAACCAGAGCATCAGACACAGTCACCCTAACATCTTTGAATTCATCGAGGCGATCAAGAGCATCGTGGCAATGAACAGGAGACGGATTGCCCAGCTAGATCATGGAGCTCCTGCACCACCCAGGAAAAGGATGTACAGAGAGATAGATGCTCGCCCCTGCCGTTTGCAGGATCAGCTCCGGAGACAACAGAAGTCGCCCATTGAATTTGTTCGTGCAGCAGACTGGGTGACAAAACAAATTTTGTAAATATACTGAAGAAGAAATGTTGACTCCCGATAGTAAAGTACCAGAGTTTCATTGAGGTGTCAGTTATACTTCTTAATTCACTTACTATGTAGTGTATATGATATATGTATGATAATTACCTATGGTGTCCTCCCATTAGTCATACGTCCCATTAGTCATACGGGTTAAAACAACATATGTTATGGTTGACTGCACCAACAACTACCTTTGTAATACCTTTGTAAAAATAGAGTGGAATGATCCAAGAAATCTGTCATAATCTGTTTTCAGCATGGTATGCATGCATAATCCGATCTTAAGAATAGTATACATACATAATCTGATCCTGAACATAGCATACATACATAATCTGATCCTGAACATAGCATACATACATAATCTGATCCTGAACATTGCATACATACATAATTTGATCTTAAGAATAGTATACATACCTAATCTGATCCTGAACATAGCATACATACATAATCTGTCTCCAGCATAGTATACATACATAATCTGATCCTGAACATAGCATACATACATAATCTGATCTTGAGCATAGTATACATACATAATCTGATCCTGAACATAGCATACATACATAATCTGATCTTGAGCATAGTATACATACATAATCTGATCCTGAACATAGCATACATACATAATCTGATCTTGAGCATAGTATCATTAACGGTATCATTAACACATTATTCTTTATTTAAATAACTTCAATAACTTAGATTCACAGTTTGGCAATTAATGGTCAGTTCAAATTCAACTGAGTTTTTCTGGCCTGCTTCAACTTGGTCCCACAATCGGACGAGTTTGTTTTCCTTCTCGCGATACACTCGCTTCCTTCCCTGGATGGCACAGTTTCTGCTGTACTTCTTCCTTCAGCCTGTGGAAAACCCGGCAGTAGGTTGTTCTCTGGCGATCGGGAAGAAGGGCAAACACCAAGGGGTATGTCTTCGAACTTCTTCTGGCATCAATGATATAAACCTGATTCCACAGGTCTGGACATGATGAAAATGTACCATCCATGTACAGGTTATCTGCTGACTGCAAAACAACCAGCTGATCCAAAGGCGAAAAGACTAACATCTTTTCGTCGTCTTCACCATCTGCAAACAACATGTAAGGTTGGCCATCAGCTCTCTCGGTCTACATCACCTCTTGTCTGGGGGAGTGCTGGTATGGTGTGTCTCCTGTCGGTATAGGGCACTGCTAAGGTTGCATATGATGGTAGATGAGGAACCACGTCAGGATCTCCTTTGGCAACTGCTTCCTGATACAGGGTTGGCATTGGGGTAATCTCTTCTCTGGCCCTCTTCCTCATGTTGCTGGTGAATCTCACCGTGTCAGGTTCTTGTGGGCCATGGTTGTGAGGAGTGGAGTTCCTGACATGGTTTCCAACTGTAGTGACTCTACCCCGGCAAGTCCTCACAACACTTCCTGTTCCTTTGTAGAATTTTTCCTTTATGACCTTGGAACAATAACTGTTGTGTAACCTTGCCTAGAGGTAACAAATTTCACTTCAATCAATCCTGCCACGATAACAAGAGTGATATGCTAGAGTCTATAACATGGAACTTTTATGCACT